GGGGAGGGGAGGGCCCGCCCACAGGCACAAAGGCACACACTCACACACATGCGCACACAGGCACACGGCACGGGCTCCCGCACCCGCCAGGCCAGGGGAAAGCTGACAACGAGTTACCAGTGGTCCCTTCAACGCCCCATCAACCAACAGCGCAACAGCGCGTACCTGTCCAAGACCACCAGGTCAGTTGCCGTCTCAGCGTTGCTCTTGAGAATTTTCTCCAGCTTCTGAATCTTTTCTTCCAGCTCCTCTGGATCACATTTCCCGTTTAAAATGGAGGCAGTCAGTCCCAAAATGCGAGGGCAGGATGGGCAGTTCTCACAGAGCTGGCAAAATCAAAGACTGGAGGTCAGGGTTCTGCGTGCAAGGCCCTGGCAGAACCAGACATGCAGGAGCGTGTGCCACACGCGGCACCAACACCAGCGGCAACGAGTTCAGGGCCAACAGAGGGGCAGCAAGGACACTATGTGGCTCATGAGCTACTGCAGCCAGCTGACTCCTGGTTACCCAAAGGCCTCGACAGCCCCTGCCGTCGTTCCAGCGTTGGTGCTCTACCTAAGTTTTTATTGTCATGTCCGTGAACATGAGCTTCATGTTCATTCAGTCATTCCTACTGACATCCAAAATGGCCACCTGCGGTTGCGTTTCTGGTATCTGCAACACCGTGTGTCCCCTCAGGAACCAGGCCCTGGAGGCGGGAGACTGACCAAGCCCCGACCTTACCTTCATGATTTCTCGATAGGGGTGGTCTAGGATCGCAAGGTGGCACTCGTCAAACACCAAAAGATTAATATCGGTCAGTGATAAGTGGCCGCTTTTCAAAACATTCAAGGCGACGTGGCAAGTCATAACCAGAACCTGCAAGAAAGCCAGCATGGGTTACACACAAGCGGGCCAGTCGCCCGGCGGGCCCGACGCGACGCAGAGGAGACCAAACAGGCCCGCTGCTGTGCGGGCCCAGATGAAGAAAACCTCCTGCAGGACGAAGCCCAGCATGCTGAAGGATACAGCAGCTCGCACACTGGAACCGAGAAGACTCCCCGATGCAGGACCTCTGCAAAGCCCGCTTCCGGATCATATCAGTCAATTTTGTCAACTCGGCTCCTTGCTTTGTTCTCTGAACTACGAGGTTGTCGGGCAGGTCACCAGCCGAGAAGGTATTTAGAGCAGGCGTCCTCAAACTACGGCCCGGGGGCCACATGCGGCCCACCGAGGACATTTATCCAGCCAGCCAGGTGTTTTTGCCCCGTTTATTTTTTTACTTCAAAACAAGATATGTGCAGCGTGCATAGGAATTTGTTCAGGGTTTTTTTTTAAACTACAGTCCATCCCTCCAACGGGTCTGAGGGACAGTGAACTGAACCCCTGTTTATAAAGTTTGAGGACCCCTGATTTAGAGCGTACCATCGGGGACACTGGAGTGTGTTATTAATGAGGGCTTAGCCCCACAGGTGAGCTAAACCATTAGGCCATGTGGACTGTCGGGGGTGAGTGAGGAAGCCTCTCCCAGTCACTCTGTCCCCACAACACTGACCAGCCAGAGGGCCCGACCCAGACCAGGCAGTGACTGAGAAAGTGTGTCTTACCTGGTGCTTAGCAAACTCCCGGCTCCATTTCTCTTTCGTCCATGATGCGCTGACTTCTAGGTTTGAGTACTCCCCAACCTTGAGATCCGAATGGGTCCTGACGGCTGACACTTGTTGAGCAACCTGGTTTGCTGACCACAAAGACAACCCTCCCAGTGAATGTGGGGACACCAACCCAAGCAGCTCTCTTGGCTAGCGGTGAGAAAGGCCGGAAGTGAGGCCGCTTTCTCTATCCCGGACCGTAGATTCCTTAAGTGACCCGTTGAAGAGGAGGAGGAATCTATACAGCGTGCAAGGCCACCTTGTGCCTGTAAAAGAAGTCCCCATCTCCACACACCTACTGCCGCCTGCGGCAGCCCTCTAAGGCAGCGCAGCACGGCTCTCCTGGGTCTCCAGGGCTGCTGAGACTTAGGGCAGCAGACAGCCATGCTGTTTCTCCTGAGGAGCAGCTGGTGGGGTCCAGCTACCATCCCTTTGGCTAGTGGTCAATGCTGAGCCCACTGTGCCACTCAGGGACCCTTCCCATGGGCAGAGGTTCACACTGTACATTTTCATGTTGATGTGTACAGCCCAGACACACGAGAGTCCAGTGTTTTCAAGCCTTCCTATGTCTAACATGCAAAGCTCGTCTCTTCCTCTTTCCAGAACGCATACACTCACTGCCAGCACGTCCAGGCGACTCACGGCCAGGCCCCATTGGGCTTCTGTAACTGTTTAGGGGAGTAGGAAGCCCAGTCTTTCTCCTGTGGGGCAGCTGGTCGAGCAAACTCATAAGTCAAAAGGTGACCAGGCTCACAACCAGCAGCACCTTTTGACACTCTCTCTTTCTACATCAACACACAGAGCTGGGATGGCCTGGGCTCACTCGAGCTCCAGCTGAGCCCTCTGGAGAAAGGCAGGCGCTGTCTACAGGCTACCACAAGCACTGCAGCTGAGGGAGGAAACAGCCAACTGCAGAGAACGGTGCCGGGGAGAGACAGAAGGCAACGTGTACCTCCACCCCACCTTCCCCAGGTGGGAAACTGCCAAACGCCTCTTATTGTCCATCCTTCGCATCGAATGCCCAGGGAGAAGGCTCACGGAAAACAGCTGCCCATCCAACCTCCCCTCAGCTGGGTCCTGGATATCAGAGCCAGGTCACCTTACCAGAATTGACCAAGAAGATCGTCCTCCGTCCGCTCCCGGCGGCATCCCCCCTGATCTGGTAGGACAGCTCTTTGGTGAGCAACACTGCGATAAACGTCTTCCCTGAGCCAGTGTTTAAGCAGACGATGGTGTTGTGGTCCAGAGCGGCTTCCAGCAGCTCCACCTAGAGACGGGGGTGGGGGGGGTGGTAGGGGCAGGGGGGTGAGGGTGGGGTTGTTATACACTGCCCACTCCAGTTGGGACAGTTCTTCCCCTCTCTGCGATCTTTCTCGGCAAATTGACTTTCTCTAGATAAGATGCCCGGGCAAATGCAGCTGCTGGGACATCTATTTAAGTCATGTTCACTGAGGCACGAACGATACGGAAGGAAATGGCATGGCTTCCAGGAACCACGGTTCTGCCGGTTCACTGGGCTTGGTCTCACAAGCCCAATTGGACCAATTCATCCAACCGGGCATTAAGAAATGGTGAGGCTTTCCCAGAGGGGAAAAAAAAAATGGGAACATCACAAATCAAACTGCCAAATACATTACCCAGCAGACATGAGAAGAGGCTGGGGGTATTAAGAACATGAGGGTTCTGTACGAAAATCGATCAGAAGAAGGGACTTTGATGGAGTAAATGAGTTTTAAATGAGACATGTCTCAACTAGATAGGCCAGTTTCCTCCAGTTCAATTAAAGCAACAACAACAAAAAGGCGGCTCCCCGATTAGAACCCTCATTAGTACCTGGTATTTTCTTGGTGTGTAAATGTTATCATGAATTGCTTCTTGTTGCCATGGCAGTCCAAAGAAGGGGCCCATTGGTGAGGAAGCAGGGGTCATGAGCTGCAGGCCTGCCATGCTGAGGGGCTGCAAAGCAGGGCTTCTCATTCGTCCAGTGTTTCTGTCATTGCGCTTTGTCCTAGCACAGCTTACTACGAGGAGGAGAAAGAAGACCGTTACACGGCCACGCAGGGTGAACACATGGCCAAGCACGGGAGCCTCTGCACAGCGCCCGAGCTCCCTCAGTCCCCCAGGGCTGTCCCAAAGTCAGGGGCTCTACCCTCTGGGGCCCAGCAACCAATGCCAGGCCTGCCTGGGGACGTGCTCAGACGCAAGGGTGGGGTTGCCACATGACCCTGAGCGCTCAGAGGTGAGAACCAAGAGGTGACAGCAACACCCACGCCATAAAACCACGCCCTTCTAGTCCGTTACAACTACTAACACAGGGCAAAAGCCACACTACGCCTTTCCCATAAAGCACACTCCTTCTGAAATGGAGCGTCATTACTGCCAGAGACCAAAACAGCCCTTCTCTCACCTGACTACCCCGCCCGCATAAGAACTTCGTGATATGGAAAATTAAACCACGTCCACCACCCGACCAAACTAGACACGCCCGCTACCGCTCATCCTCTTCCCCGTAAACCTGATCACGGAGAAGAAAGCGGAGTCTTTTTTAAGTCCCAACCTGCATGCGAGCAGTGTTAGTGACTTGAGTCTCTGGGCCACAGTCCGTCGGCGCTTCTGGGACGCGGAGCAGGGTCTCTGCCTGCAGAGGGGCATGTGGAGCCTTGGGGAGAGGGGGGCACGGTGGTGAGGAGGAGGCATCTGCTCCCTTGGGCCCTGCTCTGGCATTTCTGTTGTCTCTGCAGCCTCCTGATGAGAGCTTCTTGCTCTTGGGTTCTGGGTGAGGAGAACTTTCACTTCCTGGCACTTGAATCTTGCAGCCACGGAGAAGCACGACGACTTAAGATTGTCATATCTGAACCAAGAAGACGCCCCATGTGCACACAGATGCCCTTCAATGGGGACAGAATACTGCACGGGGATCCACCGTGCTGGGGTGCTGGGGCCGAGGACCTCAGAAGACAGCACAGAGCTGCCGGCCGCTAGCAGGAAGGTGTGCCGTTCAAACCCACCAGCTGCCTCTATGACACTGATGTGGCTCCAGCAGAAACCCTGTGTGGGTTGCAATGACTCAGAGTCGGACTCCACTTGAAGGCGGGGGCGGCCCAACATCCATCCAGTTAAATGTGCCTCTGCAATTTAAACCGAGTCTTCCTCAGGCAGTCTCTTCTTCACCCGTACACCACCAGCTGCCCGCAAATGAGCCTGCACAGCGGGACTGCTGCCTGGGGTCCCGGGGCTGGCTTATCAGCAGAGGCTCACCAGGCCTTTCTCCAGAAGCATTTCCAGGTAGATCGGAACCTCCCACCTTGTGGCCCGCAGCTGAGCACACTGAGTGCCTTTGGTTCGCTAGTCTCTTGGCTACAGAGCTGGGAGTCTGCTGTCTCTCCATGTGTAACTCTTGCTGGGATGGTAACCAATGCAGTTTACAGGACAACAACAGTGTCTACCTGAGCGATGACGGCCTCAGGTGCCTTCATTCTGTGTGGCTGTCCTCTTGCACTCACTCCCGCGGGCACGCCTGGTCTCTTCAGCAGTGGACGTGCTCCACAGGAGGAAGGTCCTAGGTGCAGGCCTGATCTGTCACAGCTCTTACTGACGCTTCCTGGCTCAATGGACCCCACGTGCACTCAAATGCTGCTGGTGGCCTGGCTCCTCAGGGCTGTCTGCACACCAGTGCACAGAACAGAACCTCAGCGATTCCAGAAATATTTCTATTGGGCTGGAAAACATGCATCTATCCAACTCCCACCCTGCCTGGTCCCCAGAGCTGTGGGTGGACAGGTGGGTGAGGAAAGGAGGGTCCACAGGCAGAAGGTGGGCAGCAACTTGACCCATTCCCACGATATTCTGCATGTTGTTGCTGTTTGGTGCCGTGAGGTCGGTCCAACAGGTGCAGCAGAACCAACACTGCCCAGTCCTGAGCAGACCTCCGTTTGAACACACGTGGCCCCCACTGCGTCCATCCATCCTGTCGTGGGTCTTCTCTCCTTCCTGCCCTTCTACTTTACCCAGCAGGATGGCCTTCTCCAGAGACTGGTCTCTCCTGATCACTCGTGCAAAGTACATGAGACGAAGTCCCGCCATCTTTGCTTCTAAGGAGCATTCTGGCTGCACTTGTTCCAAGACAGCTCTGTTTGTCCTTTTGGGGGTCCACGGTCTTTCGATCTTCTTCACCAGCCTTAGAGTTCAAATGCATCCGCTTCCCTTAGTCAGTACCCGACTTTCACAGGCATACGAAGTGACTGAAAATACCGTGGCTGGGTCAGGCCAGTATCTCACAGCAACTCACATTTCAATCCCCCTTCATTCCTCCCGCGGCAAATCTGGCATCGGGAAGCCCGCACTAGGTGTTCTACCGTGTGAAACAGTAAGAGCTGCCGTGGAGCCTGATTTTACTGTCGTTGGCCTGCTGAGCAGACTTTCTAGAACTTGGCCTTTGTGAAGAGACACGAAGGCGGCTGGTCAGCCCGAGTTCCCGGATGAGCTGGTTAGGTGATTTGCCATGTGCCTGCTCTGCCACCCCAGACGGGACAGTTCTGGGCCAACCACGCACTCTCACGGTGAGGGCTTCACCACGTCCGAGCTCCATGCAGTTAGGACTCTCACAGGGAAACGCGCCCGCCCCGACTTTACCGTTTCAATGGTCACCATCTCTGCGGTGCTGTTCTGGGGACGGCATCTGGACATGGTGGTGGCGGTTTACTGGACAGTCACGGCAGCATGCCCAAGTTTCTGCTCTGGAGAGAAACACAAAGGCCAAGGTGGAAACTCAGTCCTGAACCGTAAGATAAACACAGCCGCCAGGGAGCCCCAGTGACAGCGAGGGCCATTCCCATCTCCTGCGCTTTTACAGAGGAGGCCCTGGGTGGTAGTCAGCAGCTGGGCCCTCCCCTGAAACAAAGAACAGGCATGTGGGCCGCAGCCATGGCATGCCTAACTCCCAGGGGTCGTGGGACAAGAAAAAGGCAAGGAAAGGCTTCTGACAGAATACATGGAAGTCACACAAAGTAAACACAGGCTAAAGAGAGCGCTTTGTCGACTAGAGAACTGGGGTGGGGGTGGGGGTGGGGGGGTGTTGGTACGTTACTCCCGACATTCACGTATATAACACAAATGCATTTTAAAAGGTCACCAGAAGAGATCCTTTGGCCGAGAAAGCTAAACCGCCTGGGAAGAAGCTTTCCTTGAGCTGGAAAACCACGAGCAGTTTCAAGTCTCAAAGTGAGCTTGGAAGCACAGCTTCCGCCAGCAGCTAACTCCACACTGACGTCCTTACAGAGGTCAGCGCACGAACCAAAGCCCGGAGGGATTCGGGTCCGTATGGCTAATGCCGTGGGAGAAGTGTGAATAGAGGGGGTAGCTCAGACGACGGAACTCCGGAAGCATGCAGTATTGAGATGAAAACTTCAATTTAACAAATAATGATTACAATTTCACGTTTGCTTACTTACTGTAAAGGCTCTTCTTCATACTGTTCCCATAAACTCAGGGGCAACAAATGGAAAGGCAGTGCGCTTTCTCCTCGCTGAGCGAGACGACCTCGCTATCTGACTTTCACAGTAAAAGGTCCACCATCTGGAAATGCTGCCTGCTAAGGGCGTACTCCTCAAAGGCTCTCGGGGCTACTGGGGAGGTGATGATCTAACCTGACGCTTGTGTACGGATGCAGTCACATGGAGAACAAACCTTCTCACTTTGACCCCAATTTAGTTTTGCTAAAAAGTTAAAGCAGAACGGGGCAAGTTAAGCACTGCCTTGGTTTGTACATATTTACCTCAAATTGCTGATTCAAGGTTCTTTCGGAGTTTCCAAGTCTGTATTATTTCATACTCTAGGTAACCTAGAAGCCACCAGAGAGAACATATTTCAGAACAGGCAACACGCATTTTAAAATTAATGTTAAGAAAAAGATATCATAAAATAAGCTATCTGTGGAAGTTACGTAATCTGGTATCAACTTGAGGCTATTCAAAGTGAAGGAGTGAAGGTTAGCCTGTCAATCAGGTCACAGCTTGATGACCACATTTGGAGGTCCTAAGATAAATACCTCACTGGAGGCCAGACCCACAGTCTCTGCTTCGTTTATTCCCGGTGACAGGACACATGGAGCGACGCTGATAAAACCAGAGCCCTGGAGCTGGAGGAGCCACATGGAGACCCACACCAGCACTGAGATGCTTCCACCGCCACTGGATCCAAAAGATTTGCCTCCCAATGGCCCGTGATCTTCCATTGCATGTGTTGCATGAGTCTGAAGAGGAATTTATTGACTGGTATCAGACATATGAGCTAATAACAGACTTATGGACTTGATCTGGACTGGGCTGGGATGTTTTCTGAATGTACAATGACTCTTTGATATAAAGCTCTCTCTGATACATATGAGTGTCTGCATTTGTTTCTCCAGTCAACCCAGACTAACACAGCACCAAACAAGCAGTACATGTTGGGAAAAGTTACCCTTTAAAAATCATTACCGTATTCTAATATCAATATTGAACATATGCTCTAATACAACTTGGCGGGGGGCAGTTTGCTCACAAGCCAGTGGGTAGAGAGTCTTTGGATCCAGTGGCATTGTAAGCATCTCAGCGCTGGCAGGGGTCTCTAGGTGGCTTCTCCAGCTTCAGAGGTCTGGCTGCATCAGGTAGGTCCATGTGGCTTTTCCAACTTAGGGCACTAGCGTAGTTCCACATGTCTTGTCGGCTGCAATGTCTCCCAGGGAGTGAAGTAGTTAGAGAGTCTCTCCTGCTTCCAAGGAGGAAATACGGGATTTCCCAGAATCCTCAGGAGAAGGCCATGCCCACACAGAGGCCTCATTGGCTATGATCTGATTGACAGGCTAGACTCCAACCCTACACTCTTAACCCTCAAATTGACAAACGATTATATAACTACCACACAGTGTGGGTTACTCAGAAAGCCTAAAATATCTCATTAATACCAGGATGTAATACAGGAATGTATTCTGATAGACATTTAAAGCACACAGACCTTTATACCAGATTTTAAACTGGGTTTTTCTGAAAAACTACATCATGAATATAGTTAAAAAGAAAACTAAACAAAGCATGCCTTGTTGTTTAAGGTCAGGAGTTCAAAGCCACCAGCCACTCGTTGGTAGTTTCAGAAGCCCATGGGGCAGTCTACTCTGTCTTACAGGGTCGCTAAGAGCTTGTTTGGTTTGGTTAATCTCTATCAAGATCCACTGTCCTCGAGTCTTCAAAATATAGGGGATTCCTCAAAGAATGCTTAAATAGCTTACTAATTAATACCAAGATGCAATGCAGGAAATGTATTAAAATAAATTAAAAGCACACATGCATGTAGCCCATCTTTCTTAACCAGGCTCATCTGAAAAACTACATTAGGAATTTACAGTAAGATGAAAATCAAATGATAAAATCTGGTAAAGAATGTGAACTAAAATTAAGCAGCGTGTGTCCACTGGTTCTCTAAAAGCAAACAATACTACAGGCTTTCCCTTTGTCCACAGACACTCTGGAAACCTTATTTCCCATCGCTGCTACATATATCCAAACCACCGCCCAAAGTCATTCCGACTCACAGCGGCCCTACTTGGCTTTCTGAGACAGGAGCAGACAGCCTCGCTCTTTCACAGAGCAGCTGACGGGTCAGAACTGCTAACCTTGCAGTTAGCAGCCCAACACGTGCCCTACAGAGACTCCAAGGCAAGAAAATGATAATGATTGCGATCAAACAGGCGAACTTTACAATAACAAAATATAAGAAGAAAACCAAAAGGTAGTGGTTATCCAAAATATTCATAGCATATAAAATAACTATTCCAAGAATTTCTGTTTGGTTATGAAAAAAGATTAGGGTCCAAAAGAGAGGGAGAGAGAGATTAGGGTCAAATGGAAGAATAATGCATGGGAGAAAAAGAAAGGGTTAATAATTTGTGGTATTGAAACACTTCAGATGATCAAAATATCCACCACATAAATTGTATTTCCCTTTTTGTCACACCTGTCATTCATTTAAAATCTTTGCATTCTAATACAGCATTAACACTCCCCACACCAAAAAAAAATAAAATACAGAAACGCTTCCTTCCATATTACCATTTATAAGAGCAAAACTGGTAAACACAAACCAACGTCTACGGTCTGCGCACGAGTGAGAGCATTTCTGTGAAGCCCGCTGGTCCATGTGACGTGGTACAACCCAGCCGTGAACATGACCGCAGCTGCACACGGGGCCCAAACGCGGGTGAAGGCTCAGGCTGAAGGGACAACGGCAGAGCCTGCTTTTTACGTAAGGTCACGATTATTAGAATTCAAAACTAAAGCCAGGGAAGGAGAGAGAAACTAGAACTATGAGCAATGTTGTTCTTCCACCTCGCTGCCTTTGCGATTTCCCTGCAATCAGCACCGATTACTTCAGAACCAGAAAAAGAACTTTGCAACTGCGGCAACTCGGGCGAAAACTAATCATCCAGAGAGGGTTTCATCGCAGGCAGTAAAACCTTCTTTCCTGAAGCCATACATGTGGTCAAATTGACCCCAGTTCTATCATTTAAACCACAAATTCATTAGCCCTCTCTTCAGGCACTACTCTATGAACCAAACATACTTCTGGGTCTCTCCAAATCTGTAACATAAACAAGTTATGTTTAGATTTCAACATAATCATGTCTGAAATTGGATTTGCCGAAATTGAAGTTGAGTACCGGTCAAATACCATTTTAATGACTTCCAGCCATCAAACCCTCCATATACGAGTCTGAGCCAGCGGCCCCCTCCTTGGCCACCTCTTAGAAAGACCCTGTTCTCACACCTCACATCGGGGCCGACTTTGAATGCCCATGTGTCCACAAG